TTCTACAGAGGAAATTTTCATTCTGATCTTTGTATAAACTGCAAAGGATGACACGATGACACGATATCTGCTGATTTAAGAGCCTTTGGAATCTCTCTTGTAAACAAACTTATTTCCGTATTACATTGAGCGCTCGCGCTACTGGTACTTTATATTTCTTTGTGAATATTGAATTCCAGGAGTCAGGGCCCGGGGCTGAGTGCATATGGGCATATCTAGAGGTTATCTAGAGATGATTTCGGGGCTTTTTAGTGTTCCCGCGGCCCGGTCCTCGACTAGGCCTCCACCCCCAGGAAGCAGCCTGTGACAGCTGACTAACACCCAGGTACCTATTTTACTGCTAGGTAACAGGGGCATAGGGTGAAAGAAACTCTGCCCATTGTTTCTCGCCGGCGCCTGGGATCGAACCCAGGACCACAGGATCACAAATCCAGCGTGCTGTCCGCTCGGCCGACCGGCTCCTAAATGGTGTCAATTTCTCTTTCAAAAGTCTATTGTGCTCGTGGTAATATCAGTTATGCTGTCAAGGGTTTAACTTCCGTTCATAAACAAGCTGTTCAGATTTCCAACTACTTTCAGGCTATTTAATGGTTTGCTAAACATAGCCTCATACTGTAAACATAGCCTCATACTGTAAACATAGCCTCATACTGTAAACATAGCCTCATACTGTAAACATAGCCTCATACTGTAAACATAGCCTCATACTGTAAACATAACCTCATACTGTAAACATAGCCTCATACTGTAAACATAGCCTCATACTGTAAACATAGCCTCATACTGTAAACATAGCCTCATACTGTAAACATAGCCTCATACTGTAAACATAGCCTCATACTGTAAACATAGCCTCATACTGTAAACATAGCCTCATACTGTAAACATAGCCTCATACTGTAAACATAGCCTCATACTGTAAACATAGCCTCATACTGTAAACATAGCCTCATACTCATTTGATTTTGCATATGTGAACAATATGTATTTTTTATTTTTCTTTACCTCTTGTATAGCTTTCTGTTTCAATACCTCAACCACTTGGAGTAGACGGTAGGGCGACGGTCTCGCTTTATGCAGGTCGGCGTTCAATCCCCGACCATCCAAGTGGTTGGGCACCATTCCTTTCCCCCCGTCCCATCCAAAATCCTTATCCTGACCCCTTCCCAGTGCTACATAGTCGAAATGGCTTGGCGCTTTCCCCTGATAATTCCATCCCTCCCTCCCTTGTGATTAAAATGTTATTTATTTAATTCCTGTTTCAATTTCAACTGATCAAACTCGTATGATCGTTTCACCGTCTGATCTATTTCTTTGATTTCCCTGTTTAGATTGATATTTCTTTGTTGTCGCGTCTGCTAACGCGCGAGCGCACGCACGCGCAAGCACACGCACGCGCGAGCACACGCACGCGCGAGCACGCACACGCGAGCACGCACATAAGGCAAGGAATGCACTAGGCAGTGATGTGGTGGAGGCTGACTCCATACACAGTTTCATATGTAGATTCCTGAGCCTACTGTAGAGCCCAGTAGGCTCAGGAACCTGTACACCAGTTGACTGACACTTGAGAGGCGGGACCAAAGAGCCAGAGCTCAACCCCCCGCAAGCATAAATAGGTGAGTACACACATATATCGGGCACCTGGTGGCTGAGTGGACAGCACTCAGGATACGTAAACCTGGGGACCGGGGTTCGATTCCCGCACGAGGCAGAAACAAATGGGCAAAGTTTCTTTCACCCTGAATGCCCCTGTTACCTAGCAGTAAATAGGTACCTGGGAGTTAGTCAGCTGTCACGGGCTGCTTCCTGGGGGTGGAGGCCTGGTCGAGGAGCGGGCCGCGGAGACACTAAAGCCCCGAAATCATCTCAAGATAACCTCAAGATAACCTCACTGACGAATATGTTGAAGAGAACGGGGCTCAGATACGACCCTTGTGGGACTCCAGCTGTTGGGGAGAAAGAAAACTGCTCCCGTTTTTCCCCCTTGAATCAAAGGGGTGACTTCTCTGTTCTCCAGGAAGTGGTGCAAGGACTGTGCCCTGGGGTACAGAGCAGTGGTGCAAGGACTGTGCCCTGGGGTACAGAGGAGTGGTGCAAGGACTGTGCCCTGGGGTACAGAGCAGTGGTGCAAGGACTGTGCCCTGGGGTACAGAGCAGTGGTGCAAGGACTGTGCCCTGGGGTACAGAGCAGTGGTGCAAGGACTGTGCCCTGGGGTACAGAGCAGTGGTGCAAGGACTGTGCCCTGGGGTACAGAGCAGAGGTGCGCAAAGGGGTGACTTCTCTGTTCTCCAGGAAGTTCCTGACCAGTCTCAGTAGGGTCCAGTTTTGGGCTGGTAAGTCCGCTGGTTTATACAACAGGCCGTCGCGCCATAGGCTGTCGAAGGGCTTGTGTACGTCTCTCGTCGCGACCAAAGCAATCTATTTTTTGCTGGCGGATTGTGCTGACTGCGTCATAGCTGACGTTTATTGCGTGCTGGGTTGAGCGGTGTGATTACAAATAAAACAAGTGAACAAGTGAACAAGAACAAATAGAACAAATAGAACAAGTGAACAAGTGAGAATGGGCACTAGAAGAAAACCCAGATATAATAGCACTCACAGAAACAAAGCTAACGAAAACCCTAACAAACGCAGTGTTTCCACAGGACTACTGAGTAGTTAGGAAGCCAAACAATTCTTCTGAGAAAAGGTTGTTAAACTCGTTTGTAGTTGTTCGCCGGTGGAGGCGGAGACAAATGGTTTCTTTCACCCTGATGGCCCTGTTACCTAGTAGTAAACAGGTAGTACCTGGGAGTTAAGCCGCTGGCACGGGCTGCTTCCTGGGGGTGGAGGCCTGGTCGAGGACCGGGCCGCGGGGATACTAAAGCCCCGAAATCATCTCAAGATAACCTCAAGATAACTCCATATAGTAGTCGAGAGGGTGGGACATGGTTTTCTCAAAACATTTACCTATTGTGGTTTAGGAGGGTGACTGGGCGGTAATTACTAGTTTGGTGAGGGTCTTTCTCAAGGTATCTCATGGGCAGGGGGGGTCACGCTGGGCGGGGTCACGCTGGGCGGGGTCACGCTGGGCGGGGTCACGCTGGGCGGGGTCACGCTGGGCGGGGTCAGGCGGGCAGAGCTCAAGTGTGCTCTGAGGGGTCAGATGGTGGGTGATGGGGGTGATGGGGCAGTGAAGGAGGTGGTGTATGATGGGTCTATGATCCCAGTTCGGGATGGTGTCCAGTCAGTAGAAATGGTGGCGGTTGTAAGGTAGTCCTTACCCCCCTAACCAACGCCACCACACAACCATCGCAGCCATTATTCACGCCACAGGTTAACTGCGCCTCGTTAATATTCGACAATTTCTTCAGGCACGTGAGACAAATTCCCTCCGCCTTCTTAGCCATACTAAACGAGGAGAATCAGTATGCAGGAGATACGTCGAAGGCAGTCAGCAGGCGGTGAGGACCTAGTGGACCGCTGGCAGGGAATTTCAATAGGGTGGTAAGGAGTGATCCGAGGGTGATGTCTGGTAACGCTGGCAGCGACCCCGATTCCTGCCCTCTTCACGCTCCTCACCTTATCAGGAAGCTTCAGCTTTAATACCCCCCCAAAGTACCGTTGGTACCTGCTTGATGGGGTTCTGGGAGTTCTTCTACTCCTCAAGCCCGGCCCCAATTGACCGTTGGGTCAATTCAAATTCAAATTCAAATAAGTTTATTGGGGTATAAATACAAACAAAGGAATGAGGTTGCTCAAAGCTATTCTCACCCCGTTCCGTTGGGTAAGTTTTGCTGTTTATTGTATAAATTAATAAGGTATTTACAATTTTGTAAACTGTCAATTATAAATGGGTTCAGAGGCAAGAACTCTTTCAGACCTACTACAAGTGTATACAGTCTGTACTGAACTGTACTGAATAAATACATTTCATTAAATTCATAGAGCACTGTAGTACAGCTTTGTAGGCTAAGGTTCCTGAATACCTAGAGTGTACCTGGCGTGGGTTTGAGAGTTTTTCGATTCTCCAAGCTTGGCCTGGAGCTAGGCTTAACTTTTACAGACCGAATCCATTTAATAAAATATCTAAATTATTGGGAAAGTTTAAAATTTTAACGTTTATAGAGCGTCAGATAGTTTTACTTCACTATCTGACTTTATATCCATCTACACAGCTTGCACAGAGGCTACAGGCGAAATGTTGTTGTTAAAGATTCGCTACCTGAATCAAAAGGTCCAAGTAGCACGGGCTATGGCGAGCCCATACTTTTTACAGGCGAAAGAAAACCACGGAAAAGTTAAACTCCTTGCCAAAATCAGCTGTGGAGATGTGTGTGTGTGTGTGTGTGTGTGTGTGTGTGTGTGTGTGTGTGTGTGTGTGTGTGTGTGTGTGTGTGTGTGTGTGTGTGGAGACCTTTAAAGATGCAAGGCTTCTTGTAAGATTAGCAGGCTGGACATACAAAAGATTCCCACTTCCTTTGTTTATGGAACAGCAGAGCTGATTGACTGATATAGATTAAGCCCCCCCAAAAGGTGGCACGGGCATGAATATCCCGTAGAGCAGGGCCGAAAGATTGAGTGGCTCCAGCGCCAAGACCGTTTAGTGTCAGGGCAGCGTCTTGAAGTGCGTGACAAAGTTTTCTTACCCGCACTTCATATAAAATTGGAATTGATAAAACGCTTTGAAAAGGTCTTGAGTTTGAGAAAAAGAGTTTGGAGAAGAGGCGGGTCAAGAAGTCCGCCTTATGTTTCCAAGGCTCTCTGAAGTCAAGGTCAAGGCTCTTTCATGACAAAGTCAAGGTTCTTTGAAGTCAAAGTCAAGGCTCTTTCATGACAAAATCAATTCTCTTCCATAACAAAGTCAAGAGAGAGAGAGAGAGAGAGAGAGAGAGAGAGAGAGAGAGAGAGAGAGAGAGAGAGAGAGAGAGAGAGAGAGAGAGAGAGAGAGAGAGAGAGAGAGAGAGAGAGAGAGAGAGAGAGAGAGACAGAGAGAGAGAGAGGTGGAGTAACTCACAGGTCTTAGCAGCCGTGGTGGAGGTGGTGGAGGAGGCTGGTGGAGGCGCAGAAGATCCTCCCACCTTCCTCAGCTGTACCTCACCTCCTCTCACCTTCCTCAGCTGTACCTCACCTGTAACAACAACAACAACAACACGTGTTAATACAGTAACCCTAAGCAGGCAATGAGTCACAATAACGGGGCTAAAGTATGTTGACCAGACCACACACCAGAAGGTGAAGGGACGACGACGTTTCGGTCCGTCCTGGACCATTCTCAAGTCGATTGAGGACACTCGACTTGAGAATGGTCCAGGACGGACCATTATCAATGGATAATGGACAAATAGGCTAATAGGACACAGGGATTTATTTACTGAAGAGTTAGTAACCAGACACCTGGTGTTCTTCAACTATATGTTCTGCCATGACTAGGCCCCATTTATGCAGTTCAGTTTTGGTCGCCGCACTGCTTGATACCTGGTTATCTATATATATATATATATATATATATATATATATATATATATATATATATATATATATATATATATATATATATATATATATATATATATATGAATGAGATTAAGTGAATATGAACATGAGCGGCCACGTATATAAATGTTCAATAGGCCTTGAACATATACCTTCATTCTTATGTTCATAACAAGAGAGCAGGTATATGGCTGGCGACGGTCCACTTGCCGTAAGGTAATCCTCATTACCTTGAGGTTACCTTGAGGTGCTCCGGGGCTTAGCGTCCCCGCGGCCCGGTCGTCGACCAGGCTTCCTGGTTGCTGGACTGATCAACTCCTTACGTCTGTGATAAGGGGCGTGTAAGGAAGCCTGTGTGACCTTCAGGAGAGTGTGGCCGGGTCACGGAGGAAGAGGGACGGCTTCGTAGCCAAGGTCGCCTTTGAACTCCTTCGTGTTGCTCAAATAATATCAAAGGTGATGAGATATTTATATGGCCTGATTAAATGCTTCCTCGGAACGATAGTCTATTACGGAGGTGTCCACGTCCCCAGGGCAGGCGGGCAGCAGGAGCCAGGGCAGGCGGACAGCAGGAGCCAGGGCAGGCGGGCAGCAGGAGCCAGGGCAGGCGGGCAGCAGGAGGCAGGGCAGGCGGGCAGCAGGAGCCAGGGCAGGCGGGCAGCAGGAGCCAGGGCAGGCGGGCAGCAGGAGCCAGGGCAGGCGGACAGCAGGAGCCAGGGCAGGCGGACAGCAGGAGCCAGGGCAGGCGGACAGCGCCCTCCTGCCCTTCACACTCTCACTGTTCTCTGAGGCATTACCGCCTCGTGAGAACCACAAACATTACACTCTTTTCCTCCCCCCCCCCTAGACCCACACACCCCCACCCCACCCCCACAACGCCGCCCACCTCCCCTCCTCACGGTAACAAGATTGATCTTTAATTTCCAAACGAACAGAAGCAAGAAGAGTGATAGTCAGAGTCAAATCAGGATCATCCACTGTGAAGAGCTCAGTCCCCCAGGAGACTGAGAACTCTAAGAACTGAAAGAGAACTCTATCATCATCAGAGGCCCGAGACTGTTCAACACACTTCCACTACACATAAGGGGCATAACTGGCCGACCCCTCACAGAGTTCAAGAGAGAACTATCAACATCAGAGGCCCGAGACTGTTCAACACGCTTCCACTACACATAAGGGACATAACTGGCTGACCCCTCACAGTGTTCAAGAGAGAACTATCAACATCAGAGGCCCGAGACTGTTCAACACGCTTCCACTACACATAAGGGACATAACTGGCCGACCCCTCACAGAGTTCAAGAGAGAACTATCAACATCAGAGGCCCGAGACTGTTCAACACGCTTCCACTACACATAAGGGACATAACTGGCTGACCCCTCACAGTGTTCCAGAGAGAACTATCAACATCAGAGGCCCGAGACTGTTCAACACGCTTCCACTACACATAAGGGACATAACTGGCCGACCCCTCACAGTGTTCAAGAGAGAACTATCAACATCAGAGGCCCGAGACTGTTCAACACGCTTCCACTACACATAAGGGGCATAACTGGCCGACCCGTCACAGTGTTCAAGAGAGAACTATCAACATCAGAGGCCCGAGACTGTTCAACACACTTCCACTACACATAAGGGGCATAACTGGCTGACCCCTCACAGTGTTCAAGAGAGAACTATCAACATCAGAGGCCCGAGACTGTTCAACACGCTTCCACTACACATAAGGGACATAACTGGCCGACCCCTCACAGTGTTCAAGAGAGAACTATCAACATCAGAGGCCCGAGACTGTTCAACACGCTTCCACTACACATAAGGGACATAACTGGCCGACCCCTCACAGTGTTCAAGAGAGAACTATCAACATCAGAGGCCCGAGACTGTTCAACACGCTTCCACTACACATAAGGGTCATAACTGGCCGACCCCTCACAGTGTTCAAGAGAGAACTATCAACATCAGAGGCCCGAGACTGTTCAATACGCTTCCACTACACATAAGGGACATAACTGGCCGACCCCTCACAGTGTTCAAGAGAGAACTATCAACATCAGAGGCCCGAGACTGTTCAACACGCTTCCACTACACATAAGGGTCATAACTGGCCGACCCCTCACAGTGTTCAAGAGAGAACTATCAACATCAGAGGCCCGAGACTGTTCAATACGCTTCCACTACACATAAGGGACATAACTGGCCGACCCCTCACAGTGTTCAAGAGAACTATCAACATCAGAGGCCCGAGACTGTTCAACACGCTTCCACTACACATAAGGGTCATAACTGGCCGACCCCTCACAGTGTTCAAGAGAGAACTATCAACATCAGAGGCCCGAGACTGTTCAATACGCTTCCACTACACATAAGGGACATAACTGGCCGACCCCTCACAGTGTTCAAGAGAACTATCAACATCAGAGGCCCGAGACTGTTCAACACGCTTCCACTACACATAAGGGTCATAACTGGCCGACCCCTCACAGTGTTCACTATCAACATCAGAGGCCCGAGACTGGCTTCCACTACACATAAGGGTCATAACTGGCTGACCCCTCACAGTGTTCAAGAGAGAACTATCAACATCAGAGGTCCGAGACTGTTCAATACGCTTCCACTACACATAAGGGTCATAACTGGCCGACCCCTCACAGTGTTCAAGCGAGAACTATCAACATCAGAGTCCCGAGACTGTTCAACACGCTTACACTACACATAAGGGACATAACTGGCCGACCCCTCACAGTGTTCAAGAGAGAACTATCAACATCAGAGGCCCGAGACTGTTCAACACGCTTCCACTACACATAAGGGGCATAACTGGCCGACCCGTCACAGTGTTCAAGAGAGAACTATCAACATCAGAGGCCCGAGACTGTTCAACACGCTTCCACTACACATAAGGGACATAACTGGCCGACCCCTCACAGTGTTCAAGAGAGAACTATCAACATCAGAGGCCCGAGACTGTTCAACACGCTTCCACTACACATAAGGGACATAACTGGTCGACCCCTCACAGTGTTCAAGAGAGAACTATCAACATCAGAGGCCCGAGACTGTTCAATACGCTTCCACTACACATAAGGGTCATAACTGGCTGACCCCTCACAGTGTTCAAGAGAGAACTATCAACATCAGAGGTCCGAGACTGTTCAATACGCTTCCACTACACATAAGGGTCATAACTGAACCATCAACATCAGAGGCCCGAGACTGTTCAACACGCTACACGACCCCTCACAGTGTTCAAGAGAGAACCATCAACATCAGAGGCCCGAGACTGTTCAACACGCTTCCACTACACATAAGGGACATAACTGGCCGACCCCTCACAGTGTTCAAGAGAGAACTATCAACATCAGAGGCCCGAGACTGTTCAACACGCTTCCACTACACATAAGGGACATAACTGGCCGACCCCTCACAGTGTTCAAGAGAGAACTATCAACATCAGAGGCCCGAGACTGTTCAACACGCTTCCACTACACATAAGGGACATAACTGGTCGACCCCTCACAGTGTTCAAGAGAGAACTATCAACATCAGAGGAACTATCAACATCAGAGGTCCGAGACTGTTCAATACGCTTCCACTACACATAAGGGTCATAACTGGCCGACCCCTCACAGTGTTCAAGAGAGAACCATCAACATCAGAGGCCCGAGACTGTTCAACACGCTTCCACTACACATAAGGGACATAACTGGCCGACCCCTCACAGTGTTCAAGAGAGAACTATCAACATCAGAGGCCCGAGACTGTTCAACACGCTTCCACTACACATAAGGGACATAACTGGCCGACCCCTCACAGTGTTCAAGAGAGAACTATCAACATCAGAGGCCCGAGACTGTTCAACACGCTTCCACTACACATAAGGGACATAACTGGCCGACCCCTCACAGTGTTCAAGAGAGAACTATCAACATCAGAGGCCCGAGACTGTTCAACACGCTTCCACTACACATAAGGGACATAACTGGCCGACCCCTCACAGTGTTCAAGAGAGAACTATCAACATCAGAGGCCCGAGACTGTTCAACACGCTTCCACTACACATAAGGGACATAACTGGCCGACCCCTCACAGTGTTCAAGAGAGAACTATCAACATCAGAGGCCCGAGACTGTTCAACACGCTTCCACTACACATAAGGGACATAACTGGCCGACCCCTCACAGTGTTCAAGAGAGAACTATCAACATCAGAGGCCCGAGACTGTTCAACACGCTTCCACTACACATAAGGGACATAACTGGCCGACCCCTCACAGTGTTCAAGAGAGAACTATCAACATCAGAGGCCCGAGACTGTTCAACACGCTTCCACTACACATAAGGGACATAACTGGCCGACCCCTCACAGTGTTCAAGAGAGAACTATCAACATCAGAGGCCCGAGACTGTTCAACACGCTTCCACTACACATAAGGGACATAACTGGCCGACCCCTCACAGTGTTCAAGAGAGAACTATCAACATCAGAGGCCCGAGACTGTTCAACACGCTTCCACTACACATAAGGGACATAACTGGCCGACCCCTCACAGTGTTCAAGAGAGAACTATCAACATCAGAGGCCCGAGACTGTTCAACACGCTTCCACTACACATAAGGGACATAACTGGCCGA